GCTAAAATGAGAACTATCTTGAGCAATGTTGCAAATGTAAAAAAATACTGTGGCACCAATTGTAGCACTATAATTATTTGCTTAAAATGTTTCCTGCTCCTACATGACCTACATTAATATATCTTGAATATAAATATTTAGTTTCTGTTTTGCTAAAACAACCCTTTTTTGACTGCTGAACTTGCATTATTGCTAAATGCTATTCTTAAAGCAATATTTATTATGAAACATCCAATTATGTTAACTTATGTAACTAATATAAATAATATAATGTTATTAATAAATACTTTTATTAAATACTAATAATGTAATTTAATATTAATAATAAATAATATTATAGTATTAACTAGTACATACAATTATATAAATGTTAATACAATTTAAATTAATATTATATAAAAATAACTAATATTATTTTAATAATAATATAAAAATTACTGGTTAATATTATAGGTTAAACATGTTAAAATATGGCACAAATTGTCATGTAGGACTCATTTAAAATGAGGAACATGCATTCATGCACTAACAAAGGCAGTCTGTGTTCATCTTCGACATTTTCACTAATTCACAAGCTACTAAACAATCAAATACAGTATCACAGCTGCAAAAGACTATATTAATGGTTGGCACCCATGAAAAAAACGTACTTACAGTCTGTGAGTCAGAACAGCCGGCATTGTAGTCTATTCTACCAGGATCAGGAAACAGTCCTCCATAAAATGCGCTGCACACATCTGAATATTTGGGTTGAACTGTTCTGGAACAGTGTTGTAAATACAACTTAACCTCTGATTTCTAGTCGTGTCCTCTTTTGGAAGACCAAACAAAGTAGTTTCGCTTTCACAACGAAACAGCGTCACACACAGCGGCCTTGAGTGAGCAGAGACCGGAGGCCTAGAGTGAGCCACGGCCTAGAGTGAGTGGAGGCCGGCTTGAGTGAGCAGTGGCAGATTCGACGAGCCGCACAGGAGCGTCCGGCGGGCTTGCGGCAACCACATGTGACGAACCCGGGCTGGACTCCGCTTCGTCCACAGTGAAAGCCGATCCGGCGATCCACAGCGCAAAGTTGATGTATTTCCTCAGCGACCAGCATGGATCAGCTCTAGGCATGACGAAGCAGATATCATCCTCTTTTGGAAGGCCAACCAAAGTAGTTTCGCTTTCACAACGAAGCACACAGCGCCTTCACGACATGGCGGCGGCAGCAACAACAATACTACAGTGAGAATAAAAGTTACGCCTTCTTTCTTTGATTGAACATTTGGGCGGCGTTATGCAAATCTTCCCACATCATGACATAGACATGTGGGAGCATGTTAGAACGAGCCGTTTTAGGTAGGCGTTGTTGACTCTTAACTTTATAAAGAATATCTCTTTGGATTTGAGACTTTAGTCTTTGCAACTTTACAGATCTTCTTTATGCACCAAGAGCTTGTAACACTCCAAAGAGAAAGGAAACATTTAAATCGCATCATATGACCCCTTTAATCAAAGGTGATATAATATAATATTGGTGTGGAACCGGTTCTCTAAGAAAGGTACATAAGGGAGGTGTGGTGTCGTCTGTGTGTGCCATGCAGGTGGGTTTGGTGCTGTGGGGGTGCTTGGCGGCTGGGGCCTACGTCTGAGCACAGACAGCTGTCCACTGGGTTTGCATCCAAATACATGCACACTCCAAGAGCAGACAGGAGGGAGAACACAGAGGCTGAGGACCATAAGGGAGGCTTGACTCTTACGGATGATCAGAGCAATATGACCAGTCTCTCTCCAGAGCTCCATTCAGAACACCAGGCTATTTTAAACAAAGTGAGTGTATCATGCAGTGACTCATCCAGTCTATAATAATGGCCTTTCTCTTCAACGCTCCTGGAGCTATAGACATACTATTATTTACACTTGAATTAAAAATATAAAATGTATTAAATTGTATGAAATATATGAATCTATTATAAACATACACCTAAAATCTGTAATTTATGACAGTCCAAAAATAATGGTCATAAATGTTCTGAACAGTATACTAACATAATACCCGTTTAGTGCATAATATACATACACTACAACTTTATTTATTTATGGCAAGGATGGATTACATTTATCAGAAAAGTGACAGCAAAGACTTTTATAATGTTACAAAAGGTTTCTATTTGAAATAGATCTAAGTTATTTTGAACTTTCTATTTTTCAAGGAATCTTGAAAAAACAATGATATAGTCATGATATTATATGTACAGTCCATGAATGTATCAGAGATTAGGATTATAATTTTATTGATTGATTGATTATTATGGATATATTCATTTGTATGCTCAAGTTTATCTATTTACTTATTTTGTATTGTATTTATAATTATGCCTATTATTATATTTCTATAGAGGAAAGGGGTAATGTGGGAGAATAAATGTAAAGTTTTGCAATTGTATGAAGCTCTTTGTTAATGCTTTGTAAAAAAAAAAAAGGACAAATAAATAATAATAATTAAAAAATATATATATAGTAAGCAGCACAACTGTTTTCAACATTGATAATAAGAAAAGTTGCTTGCACACCAAATCTGCATAACATGTTTTCACACAAAATTGTATAAAATAACAAAATTTGAATAATGCAAAATGGCAGTTTCTACTACAAAATGTGTCCTCTGACATCCCAAATGAAAGAATACAACACTGGAGAGAGAGTAAGAGCCGCCCATGTCCAGATTCCTAACTGAACCTTCTGGAAGGGTACTAAGAGGGCTAAACTGAAGGGAACAGAGCAGGACCAAATATGTGAACTGACCTTTCTTCCGGAGTCCTTGCTTCCACACTCCCCCTTATCGTACCACCATTTGTTTTTCAGTTTGTCTAAGACGGCTTGCTCACTGAGTTTCAACACCGCTAGGTTAACTGGGACTCTTCAACCAGGAAAATAACATAAATAACATTATCCATGTTATTTTATGTTATTCAGCACACATTAAACACATACCCATCAATATCAACTCAACTGTTCTGATTCTTTTTCTTTTTTAATTGACTGCACACATATCAGAAACATGTTGGTAGTTCATTGTAAAAGTGATATGGGTTAATACTCCATCTAGCGATGCTTCCTTGCTCCCTGCTGCAAGATGTGTATTATAATATCACTTTGGGTAACCGGCAGACCGCAAACACTCCACCTGGAATAATGTGAACGTGGTCAGCTATTATTGACCAGTTGCCATGATATGCCATAATTTGATCAAAATGTACTTGCTATTTATTAATCAACCAAAATGTGTAAGAAGTAAGCTCAGTTTAGGACAGATTGTTTCGCTCTAGAGTGTTTAGTCGGCTTGAGTTGCCGGTTACCCCCCCATGGTAGTGGTGGTTTTACCCGCTGGGTTTGTCACATTGGGGCTGACCTTGGAATCACCTCCTCCGCTGCCACACTCTCCCTTGTCGTACCACCATTTGTTTTTCAATTTGTCCAACAGGCCTTGTTCATTCAGTTTTAACACTGCCAGGTTTACTGGGTTTCTTGAAACGATAACGAAATAATATTTTGGTCAGTGTCAGCCCAGATAAACCATTTCAGAGACAGCGTGATGGGAAAACAGACTCAGACTGGTTTGAACACAACAGCCACTGCTCTATGTAGGTTGGAATGTTAAATGCATGGCATCTGCAGTGGTTTTGTCCTGAGTCTGTATATAAAGTATGTTAACGTGCATTAATGGAAAACAATGCTTTTGTTAGTGGCCTTTGTGAAAGACAGGTTTTATAAAGCCAGGAAAAAGACTTCTTTAGACAGAGAAGGAGAAAAAAAGTGTTTACTGTCTGCTTTTGGCTCTTCCCTTTTGGTGAATGTGACAATGTGAATCGAAAACAACAGCCTGGAGACGTTAGATGAATTCTTACAGGGATAGTGCACCCCAAAATAAAAACTCACCCGTAGATCAAATTCTTTCTTTCTTTTCTTTCCTTGTTCTGTCAATTACAGAAGGAAATGGCAGAATGTTCATGCACACAGTGAAAGTGAATGGTGAACAAGGACTTTCAAAAAAGTACCACAACAGTTGTTCATACTGAATGACTGTGCACTATTTTCCAAGTCTTCAGAAGTCGTGCATTGTCAACTACAGCTCTCAAAACTAGCATATATTCTTGTTTGTATAAAATGTGGATTTTAACAAGTTAATGAACAAGTTAATTTGCAATACAATCTATGTCAAATGTGAGCCAAAATCATCACAATTAAAAGAACCAAAGACTTAAACTACTTCAGTCTGTGTGCATTTAATTTATTTAATACACCAGTTTCACAATTTGAGTTGAATTACTGAAATAAATGAACTTTTCCACGACATTCTAATTTATTGAGATGTACCTGTACATGATAAAAGTTGACTGACAGTGTACATTGAGAATTATAGTATATTTTGACAACTGCACCACATGGTTAGTCCAGCAAATCATAACTCAATCTAGATGTTAATCTAGACACAATATAGGTATAATATTCTCAGTGTCTACCAATTTTGACAGAGAGAGCAAATTCTCCCATTGTCTTCCATGTGATTAAATCATGCAGTAGATGCCCATATAGCATATACTGGTACTTGTATGTGTCAGTATGGGAGTCGCTCTCTCTCAAAATCAGATATACACTGCACAGCTGGTAACTCACCAGACACACATTTTCAAACATATTTCACTCTTGCTGTCACAGTAATGGCTAGCTAGTACTGAATTAAATTTGAGTCCTGCCCTAGGTGGCAAGATGGAAGTCAGTCATTAACATCGTGTATCCGATGTCTCTCTCCCACTCCATCCACGCTCTCTCCCTGTTCACTTTGCTATAAGGTGACCCAAAAAAATGACTGTACAATTGCTATGAGGTCATTTCCCCAAGGAGCTTATCTTATTAGAGAGAGATGGCGTTATTGAGGTTATTTCATCAGCTACAAATTGCACTGCAATGAATGTAATATCATGTGGGCCATGGTGTATTAGTCAGATGGGTACATTCAAGCACAATAAATGTGATGTTAATGATGGTGGCGTACAATTGAAATAACAACTGTTCACCTTATATTGCAGAGAATATAAAAGAAACGCGTTAATGTCGACATTCATCTTCAGAAGTGGCTTGCATAAGAATAACAACTGATTGCCCAATTCCTCTCATGCGCAAGTCACTCTGTGAGAAAAAAGCTTTTGTAATTTGTAATGAAGGAGGAGAGAAATTGAAATTAGCATTCGGCAAACCTATAGCTTCAAAGAGCCTGTCATGAATAATGTTTGAGCCTTCTCAATGGGCTCTGCCAAGCAGCGCTGCTCTGTAATGAAAGGACGGTGAACACACATGTTTCCTAAAGAGCTTCTGAAGAGGGTGCATCATTTTTCTGCCGTTTCTTATGCAAGTGCTTCTGGTGGAGTGTGCTGAAAACCCCCTCAAGCAACATGAGGTACGAGCGGGATTTTGAACAGCTCCACACACAAGTATGTACACCCACACAACAGCATGTTCTGTTACAGCAGAGGCTGCTTAGTACAGTACTTCTACCCTCGCCCCCTTCGTTCAAACGATGACTTATTTAATGATGTCACGTATAACCATTAAAAAGTCCTTCAAACAAGAGAAACTGAACAGCCGCACCACTTTGGCAAAAACCTGCATCTTATTCATAAACCATCCGCAATCCAGGTGCTAAATGTGTTTTTGGCGATGTGCAGTGAGTAAGTCATTCTCAGCACAAACATGTTTTTTTCTCTGTAAACTAAGCTTGTTATATAATGTGTCTTATTTTCAAAACACAGCGATATTTCCCTGCAGTCGTGTCAGCAAAAATTAATCAAATGATGGAGAAGAGCACATATAGACTATGCAGTGTACTCAAGCACACTTGGCATTTTAAAGAGCTGATTTAGGGGTCTGGATTGCAGTGATGGAGTGATGCTGTACAGATTCAGTAAAGTACGTCAGATTGCATTCGTTTGCAGCGTTTCCTTCATAACCTAGTACTCAGAACTGGCTTGCAAGATTGTGAAATGCAAGATGAAAATAGACAATCCAGTTAGCCAAGGTGAGCATAACCCCTTTAGTACTGTATCCAGCCTCTACCACAACTGAACCACCATCAGATGTTATTTTCATAATGGTTAAATCCTTACAGTTAGCATATATTGGACAGCTGGCTTTACCTGAGAGGAGATCCTTTGGGGGTGGCGATGCCATAGCCTTTGGAGTCCAGGTTTCCTCCAACCTTCATAGTGTCACAGGGTTTGCGCTGCTCGATGTACTCGTTCATGGTGGACTCCAGCAGGTAGGCGTACTTCCCTTTGGATTTCCTCACTCGTATAACTCCTTCATCTGTGGTTTTCACAAACACTGAGGGGTCTGCAGACTTCATATAGGACCACATCTTCTCAAAGACTGCAATCTTTGACCTCTAAATGAGGAAAGAAAGTGAAATATTATACATTTACAAATATACTTTTTTTAAGATAAGACTTCATGGCTCCTCTTACCCTGAAGAACTCTTTGGTGGAGCCGGCATCTAGAGTCCCATAAGCAATCTCAGTCTGTTTGGCCAGATCCTCTGCACTCTCGATGGGTGACACCATCCTCTCCACTGTGAGAAAAGCAGCTAGGTTGGCTGTGTATGAGGAGATGATGATCAGAGTGAAGAACCACCACACACCACCAACGATACGGCCAGAGAGTGACCTGTGGAAACATGCAAGTGTACGTGAATGCAGTTATACACATATACAGTGGGTTTTTGTTAGATGTGAGCCAAAATCATCACAATTAAAAGAACCAAAGACTTAAACTACTTCAGTCTGTGTGCATTGAATTTATTTAATACATGAGTTTCACAATTTGAGTTGAATTACTGAAATAAATGAACTTTTCCACGACATTCTCAAGTATAAGTACAATAAGTACCCTTAAAAGGATAGTTCACCCAAAAATGAAAATTTTAAGAAAAAAGAAAAATCTGCTTACCCCCAGGGCATCCAAGATGTAGGTGACTTTGTTTCTTCAGTAGAACACAAATTATGATTTTTAACTCCACCCGTTGCAGTCTATCAGTCGTATAATGCATGGCAATGGTAACAAAATATATGAGAGTAAAAAAAACATGCACAGACAAATCCAAATTAAACCCTGCGGCTCGTGACGACACATTGATGTCCTAAGACACGAAACGATCGGTTTGTGCGAGAAACCGAACAGTATTTATATCATGTTTTACCTCTAATACACCACTATGTCCAACTGCTTTGAGCGCGCGCGCGGCATCCGGTGCTCGAGGTGTGTGCGCGCTCTGGCGTAGTTTTCGCAAGCATAATCTGTGATCTCTCATGCGTATACGTCACTCATTGTTTACACAGTGCACAAACATTGTAGGTACGACGGCTAATCAAAATGGTACTTACTTGCGCTTATCCAGATTGTTCACACCGACATAAAACAAAAAAATTACTTTCTCTCGCGCGAACTCATCCGGGACATAAATTACGCCAGAGCGCGTACACGCCTCACGCACTGGATGCCGTGAGCGCGCTCAAAGCAGTTGGACATAGTGGTGTATTAGAGGTAAAATATGATATAAATACTGTTCGGTTTCTCGCACAAACCGATCGTTTCGTATCTTAGGACATCAATGTGTCGTCACGAGCCGCAGGGTTATTGGGTAATTTGGATTTGTCTGTGCATGTTTTTTTTACTCTCATAGATTTTGTTACTATTGCCATGCATTATACGACTGATAGACTGCAACGGCTGGAGTTAAAAATCGTCTTTTGTGTTCTACTGAAGAAACAAAGTCACCTACAACTTGGATCCCCGGGGGTAAGCAGATAAACATCAAATTTTCATTTTTGGGTGAACTATCCCTTTAAGTACACCTAAAACACATGTGTTTATATTATAAAACCAAACAGCAAACCAAATAGCATTTATTTAAAAGAAATATAGTATAGTAGATGAACATTACAGTGCAAAATGAACTATGTAAATCCTTAGCAAATGTAAAAATTTATATTTTGCATTTAAAATGACAGATTTTCGTTTTTAGTGTTTTATTTTTAATTTACACTAATGTTCAAAAGTTTAGGGTCGATACAATTTTTAAGTTGTTTCTGAGAGTCTGCATCAATATTTTGAAATATTATTACAATTTAAAATTTCTTTATTCTGTTTTAATACATTTAAAATGTAATTTATTCCCGTGCTGAATTTTTAACAGGCATTACTCAATACTGTGAACAGTATTCACAGTCACTTGATCCTTCAGAAATCAGCCATTTCAGTCATTTATCGGTTATCAGCCATAACATGAACATAATTATCAGTTTATCAGCCAGACTTTTATTCAGGATGAGCTGAATATTTTGTATCTGTTCTGCTAAAATAATTCAGAGGAACTAATGGAAATCTCATGCTCAAATGGAGATCCATTATGAGTTTATCAGGTGAACTCATTCAAAAAATCAAATCCCATTCTGTGGAGCACTGAACATTTTCTACATCCTAACCGTATAACAAACGCTGGCCTGCGTGTGTGTGTAGCTTCTCCATGCACATGTTGATGCTTACAGTGGTTGGAGGTCTAGTCTGTTTGATACACTGCTCTCTGTCTCCACTCAGCTATAAACTCTTAGTGAAATGTGCTGAAATGAGATAAGGCCCATCACAAAGCAACTCACCTGCAGAGCATTAATCTCACTTTTAGAAAGTTGCCAGTATGTTAAATGAATATATGCATATTAATTGCCAGGGATTAATGGCGATGAGAGCACTCTGCCGCCACTGTAATTGCACTTTAACCAATAATGAAAAAAAAAAAAAAACACACACACACACACAAAAAATGGATTTGTCCAAATCCCCAAGGATGAGTCTCTCTCTCTTGCTTAAGTGAGTGTAAGCAGCACACAACAATGATGTGTGGAAAAGGTTCCAGGGAAAGTAGTTGTTCGATATGTGTGGTGGAACAGGAAAAGCTGCTCAGATAAAACACATAAACAAAAACAAACGCACGGTTTAATCATTTAAGCTGTGAGGGAGGCAGAACCAGTCACGATGAAAGGGTGACGAGATTGCTATAAACAGAAATATAAAAAGGCAAGAACCTGTGAACCCTGTGAATGTGCAGTGATTGTCAAAAGAGCGAATAAATGCATATATTTAACAGAAAGAGCATAACGAATATTTCATTTTATTCTTCAAGGGCTGTACTGAGATATCGCCGGTAACAAATTCCAATTTCACCACCACTATGTCCAACTGCTTTGAGCGCGCGCGCGGCATCCGGTGCTCGAGGTGTGTGCGCGCTCTGGCGTAGTTTTCGCAAGCATAATCTGTGATCTCTCATGCGTATACGTCACTCATTGTTTACACAGTGCACAAACATTGTAGGTACGACGGCTAATCAAAATGGTACTTACTTGCGCTTATCCAGATTGTTCACACCGACATAAAACAAAAAAATTACTTTCTCTCGCGCGAACTCATCCGGGACATAAATTACGCCAGAGCGCGTACACGCCTCATGCACTGGATGCCGTGAGCGCGCTCAAAGCAGTTGGACATAGTGGTGTATTAGAGGTAAAATATGATATAAATACTGTTCGGTTTCTCGCACAAACCGATCGTTTCGTATCTTAGGACATCAATGTGTCGTCACGAGCCGCAGGGTTATTGGGTAATTTGGATTTGTCTGTGCATGTTTTTTTTACTCTCATAGATTTTGTTACTATTGCCATGCATTATACGACTGATAGACTGCAACGGCTGGAGTTAAAAATCGTCTTTTGTGTTCTACTGAAGAAACAAAGTCACCTACAACTTGGATCCCCGGGGGTAAGCAGATAAACATCAAATTTTCATTTTTGGGTGAACTATCCCTTTAAGTACACCTAAAACACATGTGTTTATATTATAAAACCAAACAGCAAACCAAATAGCATTTATTTAAAAGAAATATAGTATAGTAGATGAACATTACAGTGCAAAATGAACTATGTAAATCCTTAGCAAATGTAAAAATTTATATTTTGCATTTAAAATGACAGATTTTCGTTTTTAGTGTTTTATTTTTAATTTACACTAATGTTCAAAAGTTTAGGGTCGATACAATTTTTAAGTTGTTTCTGAGAGTCTGCATCAATATTTTGAAATATTATTACAATTTAAAATTTCTTTATTCTGTTTTAATACATTTAAAATGTAATTTATTCCCGTGCTGAATTTTTAACAGGCATTACTCAATACTGTGAACAGTATTCACAGTCACTTGATCCTTCAGAAATCAGCCATTTCAGTCATTTATCGGTTATCAGCCATAACATGAACATAATTATCAGTTTATCAGCCAGACTTTTATTCAGGATGAGCTGAATATTTTGTATCTGTTCTGCTAAAATAATTCAGAGGAACTAATGGAAATCTCATGCTCAAATGGAGATCCATTATGAGTTTATCAGGTGAACTCATTCAAAAAATCTAATCCCATTCTGTGGAGCACTGAAGATTTTCTACATCCTAACCGTATAACAAACGCTGGCCTGCGTGTGTGTGTAGCTTCTCCATGCACATGTTGATGCTTACAGTGGTTGGAGGTCTAGTCTGTTTGATACACTGCTCTCTGTCTCCACTCAGCTATAAACTCTTAGTGAAATGTGCTGAAATGAGATAAGGCCCATCACAAAGCAACTCACCTGCAGAGCATTAATCTCACTTTTAGAAAGTTGCCAGTATGTTAAATTAATATATGCATATTAATTGCCAGGGATTAATGGCGATGAGAGCACTCTGCCGCCACTGTAATTGCACTTTAACCAATAATGAAAAAAAAAAAAACACACACACACACACACAAAAAATGGATTTGTCCAAATCCCCAAGGATGAGTCTCTCTCTCTTGCTTAAGTGAGTGTAAGCAGCACACAACAATGATGTGTGGAAAAGGTTCCAGGGAAAGTAGTTGTTCGATATGTGTGGTGGAACAGGAAAAGCTGCTCAGATAAAACACATAAACAAAAACAAACGCACGGTTTAATCATTTAAGCTGTGAGGGAGGCAGAACCAGTCACGATGAAAGGGTGACGAGATTGCTATAAACAGAAATATAAAAAGGCAAGAACCTGTGAACCCTGTGAATGTGCAGTGATAGTCAAAAGAGTGAATAAATGTGTATTTAAGAGAAAGAGCATAACAAATATTTGACTTTATTCTTCAAGAACTGGATCGAGAGATCTCCGGTCACAAATTCCAATGTCACAAGGTTTAAAAAGGAAGAACAATTTAACCCCTGGCCAAATCCTGGCCAGAACATTATTAAACAAGAATACTTTTTAAACATCTCTAAGTTTCTGCCAGACCTTTGGGGTTGGGCTCTAATCCTGTGACCTGAATGAAGCTCAGGCAGGCATACGAGATCAGTTTAACATCTCTGAGGGAGTTCTAGAAGGTCTACCTGCAGGACTAGAAGGCATAAACAAAACCAAGGCTGCTCTCCCCTGAGTTCCTGGCAGCCGGGAGGCATAATCTTCTTTCTCTGCTGGAGTAAAGACCAGGGTTAACTGTGTATATGGTGAATCCACCTTGACAGAGGGTGTTCCAGGATAGTCAACAGGTCTATTGAGATTGATTTCAAAACCTGAGACTCTCATTCATGTCTATTTTTCATTTCCATGTCCTCTCATTGTGTGAACTGT